AATGGTCCATTGTCAGCATGGGGTCTTTGGAGGTCACTGACGATGCGGGTGTAGTGGAGGTGCTTGCAACTTTTCCTTTCGTCCTTCCAGACCCGCCACTTCCCCCACCGACGCCGCTGCCACCGCCCGCCATAGTGTCGTGGAAGTAGAGGATGCAAGGACCAACAGCGCGGCAAAAAAGAAAGTAAAATATCAGAAGAAGAAGAAGAAGAAGGAGAAGAAGAAGAAGAATTAGATGGAGAAGAAGAAGTAGAAGAAGAAGAAGAAGAAGAAGAAGGGAAGAAGAAGAAGTCTGTGCGGTTCTGAATGGGGCTGCTGTCTGCCCCCTTACGTCCTTTTTTTGGGGTAGGAAAAAAAAAACGAGGGCAATAGCGGGTAGTAGGATATGGCAGGCGGTACAATATGGCTGGCGGATGTGCGAGATGGTGGGCGGTAAGATATGGAGGAGTAAAAAGACGACTAGGGAAAAAGAAGACGAAAGGAGGAGGAGGAGGAGGAAGGAAGAAGAAGACGAAAGGAGGAGGAGGGAGAAGAAGAAGAGGAGGGAAGGAGGAGGAGAGGAGGAGGAGAAAAAAGATGGAGACTCGAAAAACGAAAGGAGGAGGAGGAGGAGGAGAGAAGAACAAGGAGGAGGAGTAGGAGGAAGAGGAGGAGGAAGAAGAGGAGGATAAAGAAAGGAGGAAGAAGAAGATGATGAAAGGAGGAGGAGGAGGAGAAGAACAAAGGGGGAGGAGGAGGAGGAGGAGGAGAGAAGGACAAGACGAAAGGAGGAGGAGGAGGAGAGAAGGACAAGACGAAAGGAGGAGGAGGAGAGAAGGACAAGACGAAAGGAGGAGGAGGAGGAGAGAAGGACAAGACGAACGGAGGAGGAGGAGAGAAGGACAAGACGAAAGGAGGAGGAAAGAAGGACAGGACGAAAGGAGGAGGAGAGAAGAAAAAGAAGACGAGAGGAGGAGGAGGAGGAGAGAAGGACAAGACGAAAGGAGGAGGAGAGAAGAAAAAGAAGACGAGAGGAGGAGGAGGAGGAGGAGAGAAGGACAAGACAAAAGGAGGAGGAGGAGGAGGAGAGAAGAAAA